GAGAGACAAACTTTTGTCAACATAGTATCGGAAGTCTAAGCCACAGCAATCAGAAAAGAAAACGAAATAAAAGACATCAAAAATGGTAAGAAATAAAACTGTCATGATTTGCAGATGACATGATACTATATATATATATATATAGAAAACCCTAAAGATTCACCGAAAAACCATTAGAATAAATGAATTCAATAAAGTTTCAGGACACAAAACTAACACATAGAAACTGGTTGCACTTCTACACACTAAAGGTGAACTATCAGAAAGAGAAATCAAGAAATCAATCCCATTTATAATTGCATCAAAAAGAATTAAATACCTAAGAATAAACTTAACCAAAGAGGTGAAAGACCTGTACTCTAAAAACTGTAAGACACTGGTGAAACAAACTGAAGATAACACGAATCGATGGAAAGATAGTCTATGCTCATGGGCTGGAAGAATTAATATTGCTAAAATGTCTATACTATCCAAAGCAAAATACAGATTCAATGCAATCCTTATCAAAATATCAATAGCATTTTTCGAAGAACTAGAATAAGTAATACTAAAATCTATACAGAACCACAAAAGACCCCCCAAATAGTCAAAGCAATCTTGAGAAAGAACAAAGCTGGAGAGATCATATCCTCAGATTTCAAACTATACTACCAGGCTGTAGTAATCAAAACAGTACAGTACTAGTACAAAAACAGATATAAATGGAACAGAATAGACTGCCCAGAAATAAGCCCAAATGTAGACAGTCACTTATCATAGCCCATGTGATAAAAAAAGGCAAGAATATACAATGGGGAAAAGACAGTCTCGTCAACAAATGGTGCTGGGAAAACTGGACAGCTACATGCAAAAGAACGAAAGTGGGCTACTTCCTTACACTACACACAAAAGTAAATTCATAATGGATTAAAGACCCAAATGCAATCCCTGAAACCATAAAGCTTCTAAAAGAAAACACAGGCCATAAACTCTTGGATATCAACCTTAGCAATATTTTTTTTTGTGATGTCTCCTCAGGTAAGGGAAACAAAAGCAAAAATAAACAGGACTACATTGAACTTTTAAAAAGCTTTTGCACAGAGAGGAAACCATCAACAAAACAAAAAGACAACCTGCTGAATGGGAAACAGTATTTGCAAATGATAGATCTATAAGGGGTTAATATTAAAAATAAACAAATAATTCAAACAATTCAACATAAAAAAGGAAATATGATTTAAAAAGAAGACCTGAATAGACATTTTTACAAAGAAGACACATGAACGGCCAACAGACCATGAAAAGATGCTCAACGTCACTAATCATCAGGAAATGTAAATCAAACCCACAATGAGCTATCATTAGAATGGCCAGAATCAAAAAGTCAAGAAATAACAAGTACTGGTGAGGATGTGGAGAAAAGGGAACCCTCATGTACTGTTTGTGAGAATGTAAACTGATGCAGCCACTGTGGTAAACAGTACGGGGGTTCCTCAAAAAATTAAAAATAGAAATACCATAGGATCCAGCAATTCCATTTCTGGGTACTTATGTGAAGGAAATGAAAATATGATATATGCACCCCCATAATCATTGCAGCATTATTTTTTTATTTTATTAAAAATTTTTAATGTTTATTTATTTTTGAGAGAGACACAGTGTTCAGTGGCGGAGGGTCAGAGAGAGAGGGAGACACAGAATCTGAAGGAAGCCCCAGGCTCTGAGCTCTCAGCACAGAGTTCCGACACAGAACTTGAACTCACAAACCATGAGATCATGACCTGAGCCGAATTCGGACACTTAACCAACTAAGCCACCTAGGCGCCCCTGCAGCATTATTTCCAAGAGTCAAGATATGGAAGCAGCCTAAGTGTCCACTGACAGATGAATGGATAAGGAAGATGTGATATCTATGTACAATGCAACATGACTCAGCTATAAAAAAGAATGAAATCTTGTCGTTTGCGACAACATGGATAGACTTGGGGGTATTATGCTAAGGAAGTAAGTCAAATAGAGAAAGACAAATACCATATGGTTTCACTTACATATGGAATCTAAGAACCAAAACAAATGAACAAACAACACAAAACAGAAACAGATTCACAGATACGGAGAACAAACTGGTGACTGCCAGAGAAGAGGCGAGTGAGGGGATGGATGAAATAGGTGAAGGGGATTAAGAGGTACAAACTTCCAGTTGTAAAAGAAATAGTAAATTAGGGCTACAATCAATAATATTTTAATAACTTCATATGGTGACAGATGGTAACCAGACATCATGGTGATCGTTTCGTAATGTATATAAATGTCAAATCACTATGTTCTATACCTGAAACTAATATAGTATTAATTTAGTAGCTCAACTGTATTTAATTAAAAAACAGAAAAGAGAGAGACTGAGGCACAGACCTACCCAAGGTCACACAGCTTCAAAGTGGTAAAGCTGGGATTCAAACCCAGGCAGGGAAGCTCCTGAGCCCAGCTTTTCACAACTTTGCTGTCTTTAGACAAGCCCAGTATCAGTGCTTTAGGGACCAAAAACAGGCTTCATGTTTACAGCCCTTTTCTTATTGTAAGTTTATCCATTACTGAAATACTTATAAATGACTAAAGATTTTACATCCTACCAACCATCGTGATCAGAAAAAACTCAATGCTGCATTTTACACAAAAGCTAAGAAACACTAAAGGCCCAGTAGGAATGGTTAAGTGGTTGCAGATCTATCTATATGTACGATGGGATACTGTGCAGCTATTTAAAAGACTGAGGCACCGTTGAATGTGCTATTGCTGAATGAACTCTAGAAGCCAAAGTTAGATTTAAGATACAGGGTGCGGAACATGCAGTATTATATGCTAACCTTTACTTGTGCTTTTTTAAAAAAGAAACTGTACAAATATGTTGTATACACAACATCTCTAGAACAATATGCCTAAAACTGAATTTGGACTTGGGAACATAAAGCCTGGGGCTCAGTTTTTGGAGGGAGTCTGACTTTTCTGTGTGTACTTTGCACTGTTTGACTTTTTACCATGTCCAAACATTATTATTCAGAATCTCTATATATTTTAATGTCATAGATATTTTCTATGAAAAGGGAGTAATCACAGCAGGCTGCAAGATAGTCCCCACGAGGTATTTTTGCTGGCATTCTCAGTTACTCATGCTGCAGAGTTCAGTTCCCGGGAGTTTCCTAGTTCTGAGGACTGGCTTATAGCTCTGAGGCTCCCATACGCAGACTGAGCGGCACAGGCTGTCCACCTTGACGCACACACTCACCAAGGCAGGAGCGGGTCTGTGGGTGAGAAGGGGACGTAAAACCTGCCACTTTTACAGAGTCTCAGGTTACCAGGAGGTTTGGTTCTCCTAAGAAATGAAGTGTGAACTCCTGCCATTTGCTTCACCGGGCGCTGGGATTATTTCAATCCATCCCGTTCCTAATGCAGACCAAAACAGGAATCTAGCCAAGTGGCCTGGGATGGGGGCTAGTGCAGGAAGGTTATTTGGGGAGCAGCTTCTCATCTCTTCATGGTTGAGGAACTCCACGTTTCCCGGTTCTTTAAAGCTCCCTATATTGTGGACAGACAGGTTTTCCCTCAACTCAAGGACACTTGTCCTTGATGCTCTGAATGATGTAAACATCGGCCAGAAACCTTGCATTAAAATAATAGACTGCATTCAGTTTATTTTAAGATCTGTTGTCACACCATTCTGGGATCTGACATCATAGGTTCTTAAAGGCTAAATAGGGCTGCATACCACAAACACCAGGGCTGGAGACCTGGTCCAGCTCCACCCGTTGATGCAGGCTGGAGCAGGGCCAGGACCTGGGGATTTAGGGGCTGAAAGGGCTGGGGGTGGGTTTCTTTGGACAGAAAGCAAACAGGCTGAGGAGACCTGCGGTCATTAACAAGTCTTTCCCCCTTCTCTGCCAGCCTCATTTGCTGACAGATGCCAACATTCGTTATTAGTAGATGTTTGCAAAAGACAGACTTTGAAAAGTCATTCTGAAGTCTGATCAGTTTACACAGGATTTAAAGATAGGACTAATGCTTTCTTCTTTTTCTAACTAGTGTGAAAATGGTAATGTCTGTTGTCAGACGATCTACAGTTTGAGTTTCTAACCACTAGGGGTTGACCTAACTCCATGAACACCAACTTTATTCTAAGCCATTTTCTTCTGCAAATTATCAGGTTCTAAGATGACTGAATTACAGTATTCATAAACTATGATGTCTAGAACTGTGCTCCTAATACTGAAAGGCTTGGTGTTAAGAAGAGAGGAAACGGTCTCATTCCAAAGACAAGGGGAAAGAGTAGGAGAAGAAATAGACAAATTAGAGAGAACGTGAGAAACAGAAGGTCCGAAAGTCCTAGCCCAGTGACTTCCCTTGTACTGCACTCACCTGAGACGCTCATCTGTCCAGCTCTTGCCCCATCCCCCAATGAATCAGAATCCCAGAGCTGGGAGCCGAGTGCTGTATGTTTAAAAAAAGCTCCATGTTTGGGGCGCCTGGGTGGCTCAGTCAGTTAAGCGTCCAAGTCTTGATTTTGGCTCAGGTCATGATCTTGAGGTTCGTGGGATAGAGCCCCAAGTCAGACTCTGTGCTGACAGAGTGGAGCCTGCTCGGGATTCTCTCCCTCCCTTTCTCTCTGCCTCTCTCCTGCCTGTGTGCATGCTTGCTCTCTCTCTCTCTCAAGATAGATAAATAAATTTTTTAAAAAATATAAAAGGAATCATTTAAATATAATAATAATAATAATAAAATAAAAATTAAAAACTCCATGGTTGAGTCTTATGAGCAGCTAAGGTCAGAACAACTGTTGAGAGTCTAACACTCACTTTATAAACGAAGAGACTGAGGCTCACAGAGGGCAGGTGTCTTGCCCAGTCATACTTTAAAGTCACTACTAGGGAAAGCCCCATGTCTCCTGACTCTCCATCCTGTGCTCTCTGGGAGGCAACAACCCCTCCAGGGGATCAGGGCACCACAAACATGTATATTACACCACTTACGATTTGGTTTCTGACAGTCTTCTTGAATGATATGGTGTATCCTTCTGTGCAGTTCTTTGTCTTCTCTGGTTACCTAAAGAGGAAAAACAGGAAGAGAAAGCATTCTTAAGTAATAAAGTGGTTGTGTCATCTAGACTCCCAGATTATTTTTTCAGATAGTTTCTAAAAATTTCATAATAATCACATAATAATCCCATCCCTACACCAAAACCAACTATGTGGTTTTTGAGACTTGGCCTGTTATCAAACCAGCTCTGTCCCTAAGCAGCTCATGCCTCTACAACTGGCGCACAGGCAGACTCCCTTGGGAGGTGGTTTACTGGGGCCATGATGTCAAGAAAAACTGAGATCCTACACTTTTTTGTTTTAAATGTTTATTTTTGAGAGAGAGAAAAAGAGACAGAGTGTGACTGGGGGAGGGGAAGAGAGAAAGGGAAACACAGAATCTGAAGCAGGCTCCAGGCTCCGAGCTGTCAGCACAGAGCCTGACATGGGGCTCAAACCCACAAACTGTGAGATCATGACCTAAGCCAATGTCAGACGCTGAACTGACTGAGCCACCCAGGCACCCCTGAAATTCTACACTTTTAAGGAGCAATTTTCTTCCCAAATGTTCATAACATTCTTTTCTTTTAAAATTTTTTATAGTTTATTTTTGAGACAGAGAGACAGAGCATTAGTGGGGGGGGGGGTGGGCAGAGAGAGAGGGAGACACAGAATCCAAAGCAGGCTCCAGGCTCTGAGCTGTTAGCACAGAGCCTGACGTGGGACTCGAACCCATGAACCGTGAGATCGTGACCTGAGCTGAAGTCGGACACTCAACCGACTGAGCCACCCAGGCGCCCCTCATAACACATTCTTAATGTTCCTCTTACTTGTTTTTATATTCAAAGGGAGACACAAGTGATCAAAGTTCTGATTTCCAACCAGGACTCCTTCCTCTGGGAAGGACACTTGTCTCATGTCTTATTAGTTTTCTTCTTTCTCCCAACCATAAAGAAAAACAAATGAAATTAAAACTGTAAGGAAAGGCTAGCAAGAGAGTAAATTTAGCCCCATCCCTTGAAACACTTTGTCTTAAAGGCAAAAATAACGAAGCTCCTTTCTTAACCAGCTCAAGTAAGAGTAACCAAATGGATTTCACCTTCATGTTCCATAGTAAACCTAAAAACCAAAGAGAAAAAGGAAGGAAGGAAAAAACGAAGAAAGGAATAAACAAAAACACCATGCAAACACACACATGTATGAGCAATTGTCAGACCAGACTTACAGAATGATCAGATTTTTTTTAACTTTTTAAAAAATGTTTTTATTATTTGTGTGTGAGAGAGAGAGACAGTGTGAGCAGGGGAGGGTCAGAGAAAGAGGGAGACACAGAATCTGAAGACAGGCTCCAGGCTCTGAGCTGTCATCAGCACAGAGCCCGACGCGGGGCTCAAATCCACGAACCGTGAGATCATGACCTGAGCTGAAGTCGGACACTTAACTGACTGAGCCACCGAGGCGCCCCCAGAATAATCAGACTTTAGAAGGACCAGATTTTAGAATGAATAGGGATACTGACAACTCCCGTCTTCTCTTGACTCACAAGGTTATTGTGAAGAGCAAATAAGGTAATGTGGGTGAGAGAGCTGCTGCAAGCAGGAAACTACCACACAAACAGAAATATCTACATCACTGGGATAAGTATTTCCCTGAGGTAAGGCCCTTGGGAAAACAGAAACCTCTAGGACAGGTGAGGAGGTGGAAGGGGAGGAGTAAAGAGAAGGGGGGTGGTTCTGCTGAGGGCAGGAGCCATTAGTGCTTGATCACCCCATTCCAGTTCACACTGATTCACAGGAGGAAGTGCCCTAGCCCTGCCACACCTCAGCCCTGGCCTGCTACCCGTGGTCCTGTAGTGGCTCAGGAAGACCTGCTTTCTGCAGACACAGAACGCCAACTTTGGAGCCTCCCAGGGGGAGAATGGGAAGTGGGGTGTGGGGGAGGCATGTTGGGGTGCGCGGCCCAGCATGGGATTCTTCAACCCTACCAGGCCTTTCCATGCCAATAGGAGGTGGTCTGCACCCACTTCACAATGATCAGAACACCCTTTCCAAAGGTTACTCAGGGGTACCTCGCTGGCTCAGTTGGTAGAGCATGTGACTCTTGATCTCAGGGTTGTGAGTTCAAGCCCCACCCTGGGTGTAGAAATTACTTAAAGAAAAAATTTTTTAAGTTGCTCAAATAGTATTTAAGACGTATCTTAATTGGGACACCTGCGTCGCTCAGTCAGTTAAGCGTCTGACTCTTGATTTCAGCTCAGGTCATGATCTCACGGTTTAAGTGAGATTGAGCCCCTCATCAGGCTCTGCGCTGACAGTGTGAACCTGCTTGGGATTCTCTCTCTCCCTTTCTCTGCCCTTCCCCCTTGCTTGTATTCTCTCTCTCCCTCTCCCTCTGGAAATAAGTGAATAAACTTTAAAAAAATTAAAAATAAAACATATCTTAATTAAAAAAAAAACTCTCTAAAGTGGGGAATCACTGAGTAAATCAACATCATGAATATGTCCTATTAAGGAAAGCTTCCCCTCAGGAATCATGTCTGTAAACAGGGAGACTTCTAGGAGTCCTTGTAATTTTGATCTGCCTCTAGATTGCTTCATGACTGAAGCCACATCTACACTACTAGCAGCAGTCATGAGGAAACCTTCATGTTTCAGTCCTTCAGTTATCAAAGGTAGGGAGTGAGAGGTGAGCCTTTACCTCTGAAGGTATGAGGCAAGCAAGTGCTTGTACCCCTGGTGGTAATGTCCATTAGCAGAGCCTCCTTGCAGGCCAATCAGACTGTGTTGACCAAACGCTTAAGGTACTTGCCCTCTGCTCTAGCAATTCCTCTTAAGAGCCAATCTTACAAAAATGCTTACATGAATTCACAAAGAGAGTTATACAAAAATAGCGATAGCAAAACTATCTGTAAGGGCAAAACTTATAATCAACATAAATGTCCATCAGAAAGAAGTGGCTAAAAGTGTACAGCAATACCATGCAAGGTCAATAAGACTGAGGGAGATTTAGAAGTACTAACATGGAAAGATGCCTGTGGTGTGCTATTTTGGTATTCCCAAAACTTGCCAGGAATTACTTATTTATTTAAAGTTTTTATTTATTTTGAGAGAGACAGTGCAAGTGGCAAAGGGGCAGAGAGAGAGAGAGAGAGAGAGAGCGAGAGAGCGAGAGAGAGAGAGAGAGAGAGAGAATCTCCAGCAGGCTCCATGGTGCCAGTGCAGAGCCTGATGTGGGGCTTGAACTCATGAAACTGTGAGATCATGACCTGAGCCAAAACCAAGAGTCAGATGTATAACCAAGTGAGTCACCCAGGCGCCCTGCCAGGCATTACTTAGAACAGTGGTTCTCAACTGTCCCAAGGACCCCTGGTGATGTCCTATGATGCTTTGTCACAACTGGGGGTGGTGGGGGGTGGCGTGGCACTGCTACTGCTGTCTAGGAAATGAAGGCCAGGGATGCTATTAAACATCCTATAATGCAAAGGATAGCCACATACAGCAAAGAACCATCTCGCCCAAACAGTGTTAAGGCTGACAAGTCCTGATCCATAAGATAATCACAAAAAAAGCCACAGAAGCATCTATAGATATACATGTGTAAATGCAGACAAATGCCTAGAAGGGTATACTGTTAAAATTGTCACCTTGGGAAAAGATGAGTGCTGACTTTCACTTCTTATTTTATGTACCTCCTTAATGATTTATAAAAACAGTAATAGGTATTCTAAGTATTCTTTTTTGTTTTTTTTTTTTACAGTTTATTGTCAAGTTGGTTTCCATATAACAGGTATTCTAAGTATTCTTAAGGAATGAATACAGTTGTGATTGAAGCTGTGAAGGAAAAAAAATAAAGTTGCAGGTCTCTTACATAGTATAGGTTATCAAAACCATCATCTTTCTGGAAAACAAATCCTTTTTCTTGCAGCAGCTGTATAGCATTCTTAAATATGCTATGAATTGCCTTGGAAGTGATTTCATTCTTAACATCCACCTGTAGGAAGAAGAAAAAGAAAAAAAAGAAAAGAAGTCAGTCCCATCTTACAGCATCTAAGAGTAACTCCCTGGACCAACTGGTTTATGAATTCACCCAACAGGCTTTTAATGTGCTGAGTCAAGAAGATTCAGGTATGTGGCCCAGTAGGACGATGACATTTAAGGAGGACTAGGAAGTTTCCTCGGGTAGGATCATGCTTGATAACTGTTCCATACCTTGGTTGTAGGGTTTTTGTTTGTTTGTTTAATTCTACAACATGAAATAGAAAATCAAAAAGATAATACTTAAATTTCAGTATGTGGTTTATATGTCTTGAACATTTAAATTACTTCTATTCCCATGTGCTTTTTGGTAGAATTGTTTCCTAAACAAAAAGATGCTTTGATTTTATTTATTTTTTATTCAGGGTCAAAACATTAGATACATATTAACTCAGTTAAGTCATTAAAATTATGGCTATATATAATTCTTCCTAAGGACTTCAAAGAATTTTACACATACTGAAATAAGTTGGGGGATTCCAGGATATAAAAATATTAAGTAGTCTCCTACTTAATTTTTATTTAAAAAATTTTTATTTTATTTTTGAGAGAGTGCAAGTGGGGCAGGGGCAGAGAGAGGAGACAGGAACCAAAGCAGGTTCTGTGCGGACTGCAGCGAGCCGGATGTGGAACTTGGGAATCTCAAGATCATGACCTGAGCCGAAGTCGGATGCTCAACCAACTGAGCCACCTAGGTGGCCCTCCTACTTAATTGTAAGTGGGAAATGGAGGCAAATAGCCAGGTGGAGACCCGTCTGTTGAAGGTGGGTCCATGGGGCTGAAGGCAGAGGGGGTCCTAGACCACATGGAAGGAACCTCTACTGTTGACAGTTTTCTATCTCCTCAATTTTAATAGTTCTCCTCTTCTCTAAGATGTAGGTTTACCCAGACAGATGACCAGGTCCTATTTCTTATTTCCAAGGAAGCTAGGCCTTCAGCTGCGTCCGACCATGGCTAACTAGACTGCAAGCTTACTGAGTCAGGGACTTTATTTCAACTTGGCCATCTCCTCCCAGGCACACAGCAGGTAAAAATTATCTGTGTAATGAATGGGAAATAAAAACCCTATTACAGTGGCTGTATCCCTTTTATTATTCCACTGGGGAGTTTCAGTCCATTCCTAAAACAAAGTTAAGTGGTGAACAATTGTCCTTCAAGGTACAGATCCATTTTTAACTGGACAGAAATGTGTCAAGATATTTAAAAAATGAGACCACCAAAGAAACAAGGCAAAACTTCTAAAAAAAATGTTTAAAGGCAAAGTCCTGCCTCTTAAGAAGAATGGTCAGGAAGGCTATCTGGGGCAGTTCCCACAGATGCTAAAGAGAGAGCATGCTTGTGATTTGCTGATGACATTTCCTCCAAGGACAGGAAAGGAAAAAAACCCCAAATGGCCTTGAGCATTCATAACTGCATCCCTAAAGAAACACTCTCTTTCTAGAAGAGGGCTTCCAAAGAGGCATTGTTTTAATCTAAAGGATCCTAGTGATAGTTCATAAACATGCTACCTCGGGCTGAAGAGGACAGTCTAACATTCTTAATAGCCAACAAGCTGGAGCACCTGGTCATGAGAACATTAGGGCCTAAAAAGTTAACGAACATTCCAGGTTACAACAGCACCCATTCTCTGAAGGCAGAATAAGGCCAAGAACTATGTGATCACTCCCACGGGCAGAAAATCAATCTGAGTATGTTTGGAATAAACATCTCACCTAGCAATTCTCCAACATACATCCTTCTATTCAGGGGGGCTTCAGGCAAAGCTGAGTGCCCTTACTTAGGGGAAGCACTGTCAACCCAAAATGACTCTCCCACAAAATTTGTATAACTGCTCAATCTTCGTAATTCTAAGGAAATTCATCTCCTTCAGTCAATTTAACATAAGGATCCTAAGGGTTGAGTTTATTACGTCTCTTACCAAGATAGAAATGAATTGGAAACTAAAAATGATTGCTACATAGTTACTGCCATCATTAAAAAGGACTCCCAGTTATCCTCAACCCACACAAAAAGCTCAGTTCCTCCTCCCAGATTTCAGTAAGCTCAGGCAGCAGGAAGACAATGTGCTAGCGCTGTGAGATTAAAAGCACAGTTTCAGCTGTGAAGGAGAATGACCCAACAAAAAAGGCTCTCTGTAAATATAAACAATATGTGAAGCTTCCTTTCCAAAAACATTTGCCTCGGCTGACCTCACGACGTATCTCCCTGCTGGTTATAAAGTCACAGTCTCAAGGGTAAGGCCTCCAATCATCTGTTCTGGCCCGCAGCATTGCCTGGCCTGGGATTTGTGTCTTTCTTGTCTTTTCCTACAGAGCAATGACAGGGCTCATCTGATTCAGGAAACCGAAACTGCACAGAGACAAAAACAGTGACTGGTTGACTGTGCTGAGACTTAGCAGGCTTCTCCTAGCCACAGGTCAGGAACTGGGTGGATCTCTGAAATATATATAGAGTCCTCGTTCCCAAACAAACCACATTTATCCAGCTGTCAAAGAAACAATGGTTTTGCAAGGTCTGCTTATCATGTTTCCAGATTCGCTAGGAAGGGCCACTATGGAAAAAAAAGAAAGGGGGAAAACATTGAAACCCGCTCTCCCCTTGCCTCTAAACTATGACACTATCACAATGATTTTTTTTTTGTGAGGGTTTCATCTGTATGACCAGAGAAAGTGCTGAAGGATCTAGGGTTTCACCATCGCTGTAAAGCATCCTTAGTCTCCCAGGCTCTGTTAAACAGAATTCAATTTAATGACACTGACCTCCCCAGAGTCATGGGAAGGAATAATTCATAATTGATGGAAAAATAGTTTCCAAAGACAAAACAAAGTGCCACATTCATTTCTTTTTCAACATACATGACTGGGCAGACACAAGTTTCTGCTCTAAGCACTTTCAAAAAGATACCATGCCAAAAGTTCCCCATGGTTGTTCTGAATGGAGGAGCCCTCGGAGAATTCACAAGTCTCTCTACAGAAGAGTGGGTTCGCGGGAAGAATGTGGTCTTTGCTAAGCTTCAAAGCTTCCTTCCGAACATGCCGACCAGAGTGGTCAAAAGCGCTAGGAGGCTGACTTGGCAGGGAGCCTCCTCTAAACGACCAAATGGGAAAAAGGTTAATCCTGCTGACGGCAGACAGCTTGACAGCCCCAACTGCTTGGAAGCAAGAGTGGCCCAGAACAAGTGGCCAGTCCCGACCCTCTCCACCTGGGTGCTTCCTGAAACAGTATCCCCCATCGCTGCAAATGAAATTGTGGGTCATTGGACACACAGCCTGGTGCCAGGAAGAGATAATTAGGTTCACGAATGAAACTGAGAAGCAGTGGTCGTGCCCAGGAGGTCAGGATGAGGACTTGGTATCTGTTCCACCAGAATCATGAGGAATAACTTATGTTACCTACCAGACCTATTCAAGGCAGCCCTGTTGGGAATGGCAAAAGATCGGAATACTTCCAGTCCAGAAAGCGAGAAACTGGTTAAATAAATTATGGTACATGTAACAAAAGAGTATTATAGTGGCAAATCTCTATATGTATGGCTAGGAAATGATGTGTAAGATGTGCGAGACATGAAAAGCTAGGTACAGATTAGTGTTTAGCATGCCACCAGTTGTGTAAAAAAAAGGGGATAAAACTACTTCTAGTTTATAAATGCACAGACTCTCACTGGAAGGTTATTCATGAGACTAGTAATGATGCCTGTCTCTGGAGAAAGGGACTAGGAGGGAAGATGGGAAGGAAACTTACTTTTAACTAGATACTTTCAGGGACTATTTAAATTTTTAAAATTAAAAAAAAAATTATTGTAGAGAGAGAGAGCCTGAGCAGGGGAGAGAAGGGCAGAAGGAGAGAGAGAAAGAATCTTAAGCAGGCTCCAGGCTCAGCACAGAGCCTGACACAGGCCTTGATTCCACTACCCTGGGATCATAACCTGAGCCGAAATCAAGAGTCAGATGCTCAACTGACTGAGCCACCCAGGCACACCAGGGACTATTTAAAATTTTAAGAACTATTCTTTCCTTCAACCAATACAGGATTATTAAGAACTTACTTTATAGGGTGCCTGGGTGGCTCGGTCGGTTAAGCATCTGACTTGATTTCAGCTCAGGTCATAATCTCATGGTTTTTAAGTTCAAGCCCCACATCAGGCTCCGCACTGACGGTGTGGAGCCTGCTTGGGATTCTCTCTTTCTCCTCTCTCTCTGCCCCTACACTGCTCATGCTCTCTCTCAAAATAAATAAACTTAAAAAAAATCAAATTAAAAAAACCTCACTTTATGGCAGCCCTATTCTAGGCTATGGTTCTAGAGAGCAAAGAACAAGACAGGCAAGAGCTCTGCACTTGTAGAATTTAAATTCTGGCTGAGGAATAGGCAGGTACACAAATAAATATCAGTGATATCCTAAGATATGAAAACAGGGTGATAACATTGTAAGGAAGCAGGTGGCTATCAGAGCAAATAGTCAGGGAAGACAAGAAGGTGACACTTCCTGGTGGAATGAATAAGTAAATACAAATTATGTTACAACAACAGAAAACCTAAGAATTACGATGAAAGGGATCCTAAAACTAAGTTTAAGTAATAACAATTCCAAGTGAATAAGTAAACACAAAACAACTTAAGTTCACCTGAAAAATACGGACACTTCTTTCCCGGGAAAGTAGGAAATTACTTGAGTGTTTCTAGAAATTTTTACTTATAAACTAGACTGAATACAACTTGGGTCTTTATTCAAACTCCCAAAATATGACAGGTTAACCTTGTTTTGATGAAGAGAGAACAAGTTATTAAAAACCTTTATTCAGTTCAAGAATCATCTTGCTGATCAATAAATAATCTTGGAAAGACAATTAATTACCTTTTCTCATTTATTTCCCCCTCATTTGGCCCCTGCTAAGATTAAACCCATCTCATTGAATATGAAGATCTAAGTACTATGAACCTTAGACTTTTTTTTTTTTCCTACCCGAAGGTTAAATTGACTGAGATTAAGTGAGGGGGGCAAAAGGGCAGGTACATATTCTCATTTCAAGTTCTGTTCTAGAACAGAACATCAAATAGAACCATAACCTCTGTTCCCTGCATCTACCCCATGAATCTTTTTTTTTAAGTTTATTTATTTAGAGAGGAGAGACAGAGAGAGAACATGCATGTGTGATTAGGGGAGGGACAGAGAAAGACTGGGAGAGGGAATCCCAAGCAGGCGCCATATTGTCAGTGCAGAGCCTGACCTGGGACTCGAACCCATGAGCCTTGAGATCATGCCTTGAGCCAAAATCAAGAGTTGGACACTCAACCGACTGAGCCACCCAAGGACCCCCTACCCTCTTGAGTATTAATGCCACAGTCATGTTCACCCACACCCTTCAGCTGCAGATATGGGACAGGGGACTTGAGTTCTCACATGGGCATGTTGTACTTACCTGTTCAGAGGAGGCACTGTGAGTCACAGGCTGACTGGCCAGGGACAGCAGAGATTCCACAATTTCCAATTCCTGCTGGTAAAAGGTTTGCACTTTGTTCTCCACGAGGAATTCTTTGGCTTTTTCACTCAGCAAACATGTGAGATTGGTAAGGTCCAGGGCACCCGGATTGCTGCTAGGGGAAAGTTTTTAAAAGCTTTGCAGACAACTATCACCTTTGTTTCTTTTTGGTGTGCATAAAATAGAAACCCAGTTAGGAAATGCAACGTTATATGGACGTTTGTTTTAGCGACTGACTGAAGTATACCTGACCACAATGTTACATGAATTTAAGGTGTACAACATAGCAATGAACAAGTCCATACTATGCAACATTCACAAGTGTGGCTACCATCTGTCAGCATATAATGCTATTACAATACCATTGACTATATTCCCTGTGCTGTATCTTCTATCCTCGTGACTTCTTCCATAACTAGAAGCCTGTATCTCTTACTTTTATTCACCTATTTTGTCCATCCTCCCCTGTGAAGGACACTTACATTGCTTTCAAATCTTGGCTACTGTAAATGCTGCTGCAATAAACAGAGGGGCGCTTATGTCTTTTTGAATTAGTGCTTTTGTTTTCTTTGGGTAAATACCCAGTAGTGGAATTTCTATTTTTAGTTTTTTAAAAAGATTTTTAAACTTTTCTCCATTGTATTTTCTTGCCTTGTATAGATTGAGCATATAAATATGGCTTTATTCCTGGGCTCTCTATTCCATTTCATTGATCTATGTGTCTATTATGTGTCAGTATCATACTGTTTTGATTACTATAACTTTGTAGTGTATCTTGGGATCTGGGATTATGACACCTTGAGCTTTGCACTTCTTTTTCAAGATTGCTTTGGCTATTTGGGGTCTTTTATGGCTCAATACAAATTCTAAGATTATGTGTTCTACTGCCTTGAAGAGAAACTCGGTTTTCCACCAGTGAGTAGGATGTTAGCTGGGGTTTTTTTCATGTATGATCATGTGATTTTTATCCTTTGTTGATGTGGTGGGTGATGTTGATTGATTTGTGAATATTAAACTATCCTTGCATTCCCAGAATAAATCCCACATGATCATGGTCGAATGATCCTTTTAATGTACTGCTGAAAGTAGTTGGTTAATTTTTAAAAGTTTACTTATTTATTTTTCAGAGAGAAAGCAAGCAGGTGAGGGGCGGGGTGGGGGGAGAGAATCCCAAGCAGGCTCCACACTGTCAATGTAGAGCCCAATGTGGGGCTCAAACTCATAAACCGTGAGATCATGACCTGAGACAAAATCAAGAGTCATATGCTTGCTTAATTGACTGAATCCGCTAATATTCTGTTGAGGACTTTTGCATCCATGTTCATCAGAGATGTAGGCCCCTAGTTTTTTGTAGTGTGTCTGGTTTTGGTGTCAGAGTAATGCCGGCCTCATAGAATATATTTGGAAGCTTTCCTTCCTCTTCTATTTTCTGGCATAGTTTGAGGAGAATAGGTATTAACTCTTTCTTAAATGTTTGGTGGAATTCACCTGTGAATCCATCTAGTCCTAGACTTTTGTTTGTTGGGAGTTTTTGATTACTGATTCAAATTTGTTACTGGTAATTGGTCTATTTGATAGTAATGCTGGTTTTTGACATAAAGGGCAATTCATGAAGTGGGCACTGTGTGGTTGTTTAAAACGATTAGGCAGGACTACAGGAATTATGATATTCATGAGATCTGGGAGGAAAAATAAGGTCAAACTGCCAAACAGCATATGTGATATAGGTACAGTCCTATTTTTATAAGAAAGCAAATGAAACCCCATAAAATACATGGGTGAATATTCATGCTTGTATATGCACAGAAGAAAAACGTCTAAAAGGATACATATCAACCTATGCACAGTGGTAACCTCTGGGGAATGGGTACTAAGGCAGGAGAAAGGAAACTTTCACTTTTTACTTTTTCCAGGTCTAGAGTTTGGGGTGGGTTTTTTTTTGTTTGTTTGTTTTGTTTTGTTTTAAGTTTTATTTGTTTTGAGAGAGAGTGAGATATCACTAGTAGGGGAGTGTGGAAAATCCCAAGCAGGCTCCACGATGCCAACTCCACGATGCACAACCTGACACAAGACTCGAAACACTCGAATCCATGAACCATAAGATTGTGACCTGAGATGAAACCAAGAGTCAAACAGACACTCAACCAACTGAGCCATTCAGGTGCCTCAGTTTTTTTTTTATAAGGTCTTTTTAAATGGTTGTGTTTATTCTAATCTTTTTTTTAAAAATGTTTTTATTTATTTTTGAGAGAGAGACACAGCGTGAGCAGGGGAGGGTCAGAGAGAGAGGGAGACACAGAATCCAAAACAGGCTCCAGGCTCTGAGCTAGCTGCCAGCACAGAGCCCGACATGGGGCTTGAACCCACAAACTGTGAGATCATGGCCTGAGCTGAAGTCGGATGCTTAATGAACTGAGCCACCCAGGTGCCCCTAATCTAAGTTTTTGGGGGGTTTTTTTTGGTAATATACACATTAGAAAAATTAAAGGGTACACAGTGAAAAGTCTCCTTTTTTATCCTGTTTCAGTTCCCACCCTTTGGCAGCCACTGTTATTAGTTTTCTGGCTCTCCTCAAGGTTCTTAAGTATGAATGAATACTAATTCATACTAATGAGTATGAATATATTCTTGCTCCTTCTGGTTCTTTTTCACCCCTGCACAAAAGAGTATAATCATCCCTGGTTGGGAATACAGTTTTTTGTTATAATGTGCCACAGTGTAGTATTTTAATTGTGATGTTTCATGGCAGCTTTCTTGACGTCTCTTGATTTGGGGCTCATTGAGCTTTACAGTTTTCCACATACTTGGAAAAAGCTCATCTGTTATTTTTTCACATATATTTTTTTCTGCTCCCTGCCCTCCTTCTGGGACACTGATTACATGTACATTTTCCTCACAAAAACCTTACAATATTTGTATTATTATTACCTTCACTTTGCAGATAAGAAAATTAAGGCATATAGAGAGTAAGTAGATTTGCCCAGAGACCCTCAGTGAATAAGTAGACGGTATAGGATTTGAACCCAGGTCACCCCAGCATCTGGGGTCCCACTGCTTGGTCTTATTGACATTGTCATACCTCTAGCAGTGAAAGGCCACAGCTTACCTTTCTTGTTCTAGGGTTGGGCTCTGGAAAGGCTGGTCATACACTTTCCTGTAGATACTGGGCAGCTCAAGCATCCTTGCAATTTGAATGTTGCACACTGGATCATCCACTTTATCTAACAAGCCATGGGGGAAAACGTGCCAGAGAAATTATAATGAGATCAGCTCTTTCCCACGTCCAAATTGCTGCTCGGTGCCCAGTGGATCTCCTTCCCCATGTGTGCCCAGGAATCATACATTCTAGATGCACTAAATGATTCCCAGTTATCCTTTGAGAGCGCATGCAATGCCCTAAGCATCATGGGCTTGGCCAGGCGCAGACGGGAACCAGGGAAAGTACGTTTGCTTATTCACTCCTCTGTTACAATGGCAGACAACAGGGGCTAGCCTTGGGATTTCCAAGCCAAAATCAACCAGAGCACTGAAGAGGGGACCACTCAGAGGATGTGGGACTATCATATTTCTGATTAGCTGTTTCCCTTCAAAGCTAATGGACTCAACAGTATTTAAGAAATCTCCGTCATTTTATAGACTATGAATACTCTGCCCTAAATAGACTGATACTTAGAACTTCAAAGCACTCTATTATGTTGCCCAAATAAATTTGACAGATATATAGAACAAATCATTTGTTTGCCTCAATTTGTAGTTACTTCTCTTCAAAATAAAGTTAAGAGATGCTGCTTCTCTAAAGAAAGCGTGTTATGAAATATAATTTCCCAGAGTTACATTTTTTAATCTGAACTTTTTAGGAGTTTGACTTTTCGCTAACCCACAGTTTAGAAGCTAACCCAGAGTTTACTGGACACACACCCAGAATAACAACCAATTTGGCAGAAATTACTTATGCTTACAATAAGTAGTGACACGAATTTCTCGTTCTTCTCTGTATGTGTGGATATAACCTCTGATCTGGATAATGTCCCCAATTTCTATCTTTGTTTTCTGCTCAATGGTCTCCTGCAACTTCTTAAGCTGTGAGGTTAAGTTCAGCTCCCCTATAGCTGGACCACCTGTTGTTGCTAGGGATAGAAAAAAAAGAGACAAATGCATAACACAATCACTCCACATCTGTGAGGTAGTTTGGGGAAAGACCAATGTAAGATATCTATACATTCTACTTCTCATTAGTTGCTCTACTGCACAAAATCTATGTGAAGGACTTCTGATGTCCTGTGCTGAAGAGAAGGCCTAAATTGTAATTATTTAAAGTAGGGTGAAGGGAAGGGAGTCTAGGAGGCCTGATAAACCCAAGTGGGTGAGTTCGGGCATGGCTGTTTTCTCTCCTACCCCCTCATCACCAGTGCAGGCAAAGGGCTCTATGTGGTCCTGAGCTGAATTCTGTATGAGTTCAGCTGGGTTTGGTGGCAACAGCTCTAAACAACTATTTAAAGTGTGCTTGCAGACTGGGGGGGCTCAGTTAGTTAAGCATCTGACTTTGGCCTGGGTCATGATCTTGCAGTTTGTGAATTTCAGCCCTGCGTGAGGCTCTGTGCTGACGGTTCAGAGCCAGGAGTCTTCTTTGGATTCTGTGTCTCCCTCTTCTCTCTGACTCTCCCCCCACTCATACTCTCTTTCTCTCTTTCCCTTTCTCTCTCTCTCTCAAAAATAAATAAACATTAAAAAAAATTTAAAGTGTGCCTGCAGGAAGACAGGTCTGGCATAGGAGAAAGTGGGCCCCAGAGTCTTCATTTGCAGTTCTGTTTACGAGGAAGGCAAATGTGCCTCAGGCTGATTATCTTTGTTAGGTAACTAGGGTAATCTCTCCCTCTCTTTCCTTCTCTCTTTCTCATACAACTGCATGGTGAAAAGAACCCAATGCACATTCAATTCTAAATAGTTTCTATCACTTAAGTTTAATTTCAAACTGTAATAGCTAAATAATAATAATAAGCAGAGCCGTGACTATTTGGGTACTATAGGTGCTGTTCTAAGGACTTTACGATGGATTAGCTTTTTTTTTTTTTTTTTTGGTGCTTTAAATTTAATCTAGTTTATTTATTTTTTTTTACAAATAGTTTATTGTCAAATTAGTTTCCACATAACACCCAGTACTGATCCCCACGAGTGCCCTCCTCCATGCCCATCCCCCCACCCCCCTACATCCATCAGTTCTCAGTTTTTGTCAGCATTCAAGAGTCTCTCATGGTTTGCCTCTCCCTTTCCCCCACCATTTCCCCCCTTCTTCTCCCCCTTGGTCCTCTGTTAAGTTCCTCCTAATCCTCCTATACGTGCAAACATATGATATTTGTCCTTCTCTGCCTGACTTATTTCACTCAGCATAACACCCTCAAGGTCCATCCATGTTGCTACACATGGCCAGATTTCATTTTTTCTCATTGCCATGGAGTATTCCATGGTATAGATAAACCACATCTTCTTGATCCATTCGTCCGTTGATGGACACTTAGGCTCTTTCCATGTTTTGGCTATTGTTGAGAGTGCTGCTATGAACATTGGGGTACATGTGCTCCTATGCCTCAGCATTTCTATTGGATTAGCATTTCTAATCCTCACAACTACACCTATTTATTATTAGCCCCATTTTATAGATGAGGAAACAGAGTCACAGAGAGGTCAAGCAACTTGCCCAAAGTAAAACAACTAGTTAGCAACCAAGCTGGAGTTTTAACTCGAGGAGTCTCTGACTCTAGTGCCTTCCTGCTTATTCTTTATTCTCTGCTGCCTTCCCCTGAGCATACTCACATTTTCCAGTTACAGCGAGTGTGTGTAAACATTTCTGTGTTCTCATTTTCTGCCTAGCATAAGTTCAAACACACACATATCCATGGGATCTATACGACTCTAGCATTTTACATTATAATTGAACATTCTGTCATGTTAACATGCCACAGTTCATTTAGTCAGTCTCATTAAATATTTCATTCTCCCCCCCCTTTTTATAATTTTTTATTTTGGTTTTTTATCATAGCACTGGATGGGGTTTAGAGGTCAACACTTGGGTAACACAGTCAAACAGACCTGGCTGAAATCTCAGTTCACCTCTTACTAGTTGTGGGACCTTGGGCAGCCTGCTTAACCTCACTCTGCCTCAGTTTCCTCAACTATGAAATGGGGATAGCAATGGAGTCCACCTCACACAGAGTTGTTGTACATGATCTAAGTTAACCCTTACATCATGAGCTTGTCAGCACAACGTCAGATCCAGAATCTAGAAAATATTCTATAAATGTCAGCTATTTGTAAAAATGAATACATAAGCCCTTTAGACAAAATTATTTTGTTTTCTTTGGGGTCTTCTATTGGGAATTACTGGAGAGAAAAGTAAAAAACAGGTTTAAGCTCATTACATATTGTCAGAACGTTTGCCAGAATAAAACCAAACAAACCATTCTCTTTTCACCAGTGTCACCAGCACAAATGCACACTTGTAGCTCCTACCCTGCCCTTACTCATTTAGATGTTTAGTACCTTAAAAAATACACGGTTCCATGATGTTTTATTTTGCTAAATTTTAAACTGCCAGATAGGCTATGTGTTTTTATATAAGATGATCTCCTCTCTATATTTCTTTACGTATAAGAAATCGTCTTAGGCATTCAATGTATTATTCACATCTGTGTGCTTTATGTTAACTTCTGAAAAATTTGGGGGGAAGCATTATCAGTTATGCTGATTACATCCCCCACCCCCACACCCCATTCCATGGCTTTTCTATGGCTTTCTTTTCTTATTTTATTTTATTTTACTACATAAAAGTGTGAAAAGATCTTCACTCTATCCCACTGTCAATTGATGATAGTGTTTGGTGCTTTCACAGCTAGGGACTTATGAGACCTTAACATACATACCCCACGTCTACACAATAAATACATAACTCCATCTCCTTTATGTGACGTCACTCAAGCTGGAAGACAGGGATCAGAGTCACCTCTTTTGAAAATATTTTCCTCTACCTGAACCAACAACATTCACAAAATGCTGATTTATTTCCTGCTGTTGTCTTATTTTAGGTTTGTCATATATTAGTGTTCCTATAATGAGTGAACAAATCTCTCTTTTAGCCTGGTAATCACATTTTCTGCTTTTTAAGCTAATGCACCTTAGAGCACTGTGGCTTTGTAAAGAGCAAAGGCATTACTTTTCTTTTAATGCATCTAGTCTACCAAGGGCAATGGCAACCTAGGGAGCACAGGGCACTCTGTATCCAGTAACCAATACCTAGGAATCTAGACGCAATCAGCATTAACGGTACTCAGCTTACTGGGTTTCTTCAGAAAATACCCCAAGTATTACTTTTTAAAAGGTTATTCCATCTGTGTTCCTATTTCTCAAGCTCTCTTCTACTTCAGCTGAATTTAAAACACTTGAGAACAAATGCTTCATGCAGCATTGCTGAAATAAACAGACTGACGGCTGGTCTGAGAATGAGGCCCCACATTCACTTAAAGGGTGAGCCGGACTGCTGAAAGGGCTCATGCTCCGTAATTTAGTGAATGTAATGAGATGGCTGGAGCCTGACAGAATTTCATTTTAAATAGCCTATTCCACCCTGAAAGATAAAACCCCCTCTAAAATTCTAATATCAAGGGCCAGGCTTTCTTAACTTATCTCCAAAGCTAAGTCCAAATGGTGCACTTAATAGGACACTGATAGGAGTTAATATCATATTCGTACATACCTTAACGGGCTGGAACACGGTTTTGACTCAGGCTAAATTTTGTTTGAAAAAATTAGTCTTCATTGGCCATTTTCCAGGGGAAAGCTTTTAAATTGAGGGTAATTACATGAAAAGAAGAGAACGGGCTAGTCCAGAACAATTTAAAAATATCTTTCATATATAACATGACTCTGGCTTTTTCTGGCTTTTTCCTTGGACTCTTACCCTCTCATTTTTATTCTCAAAGTAATTTTCAACTGAGGCTACCTGTTCATCTCTTCATCTACTTAGAAATATTTTTAAAATCTCAGTGTTAGTAGCCATTCTATCTTAAAAATTATTATATAGGAGTTATATAATATTCCTAATATCATTCTTTAAAAAATGAGCTGATTTTGAAAGTTAAAACAATGTCTAAAACAGGAGTCTACAAGCTATATAGCCCATGGGCCAAATCCATCCACAACCTGCTTTTGTAAATAAAGTTTTATTGGAACCCAACCATGCCCATTCACGTATGTACTATGTATGGCTGCTTCTGAGTTACAATGGCAGTACTGAATAGCTGACATAGGATATGGCCCACAAAGCAGAAAACATTCACTATCTTACCCTGTACAGAATAAGTCTGCTGCTCCATGGTCTGAAACAAGTATATGTATCTGAACAACACCTTCTGATTGAAGGTTTTAAAAACACTAAAACCATAAATCTGCAAATGATTTTAATAACCTAGAATATATGCAAATTCAAATATCTGGCTGTCTTATAGGTTTACTTTTTTTTTATTTTTAAAAAATTTTTTTAATGTTTTTTTATTTATTTCTAGGAGAGAGAGGGAGAGAGACAGCGTGAGCAGGAGAGGGTCAGAGAGAGAAGGAGTCACAGACTCTGAAACAAGCTCCAGGCTCCGAGCTGGCAGTCAGCACAGAGCCCGATGCGGGGCTCGAACCCACGAACCGTGAGATCATGACCTAAAGCGAAAGTCGGACGCTCAACTGACTAAGCCACCCAGGCGCCCCTTATAGGTTTACTTTTTACCTGTGAGGCAACTGCATAAAAATTTGTTGTCTTTTTAAATTTTTTTTTATCTACAAAGCTTCTCTTTTTTTTATTTTTGAGAGAGAGAGAAAGAACAAGCAAGGGAGGGGCAGAGAGAGAGGAGAAAAGAGGATCCAAAGAGGGCTCTGCATTGACAGCAGTGAGCCTGCTGTGGGGCTTGAACCCACACACTATGAGATCATGACCTGAGGCAAAGTCAGAAGCTCAACCGACTGAGCCACCCAGAAGCTTCCTAAGCCAATGGGTGCCAATGGTTAAGGTGTTCCCAAATTAGGAAAAGGAATACTGAAGTTATATGAAACTGATGGCCAAATTCTAAATGTAAATATGTCAGAAAATTAAGCAAAGGAGCAGTCCACTGGTCAGAACAGTCAAAGTAGGAAGCTGACATTCTGACACGTAATAGCAAACAGGAAAGGCACCATGTATCACTGAAGGAGACAGATACTGGATGTCAGATGTTATAGCGGCAATATTTAGTGAATACCCCCGCTGTGTATGGCACCATGCCATGTATGTTATAAAACAGAGAAACAAGGTCCCATGTCTGTAGCTCCTCTAGAACCAAAAATAATCATCAGTACTGCCCACTATTCTTTTTAATATTATACACTTAATTTAAAAAACTACTTAAGAACTATTAAAATATACTCAAGGAATTCCAAATGCTGTTTCAGTTATAGTCAATGGTTCAATATATAATTTTAAAGTGTCTTTTCAGTTTATATAATTCAGTGGCTAACTTCAAAGGAATTCTATCTTACCTTCTCATCAATGTTAGAATTCCTGGTATATTTGAGATTTCAGAAAATCTGGATCATGGCAGCACAGAAGTTAGTGGCAATCACGTAGGAGGAAAAGTCTTCAAAATCTTCTTTGGTTAAGGGATATGCCTGGAGCAAGGAGATTCTGACCTGACTGGCAAATATGCTAAAACATCTTGATTTACGTAATGACTGCTGTGGTAAAAATGAAATGCTGGAACTCCCAGAAACCACATCACACTCCCACAGGCTTAGGAAAAAGTGAGCACCAAACAGAAGGAAGAAACAAACACAACTAGCTCTTCTGTGATATCGGTCTGCAGAGTAGCCAGAGCTCTGGGCACAGCGCTTCAAGTGGATCAACAGCATTCATCAGTGGATAAAGGTGAAAATTTAGCCCTAAGGCTGTTCTGATGAACCACCTTGAGTAAAAACCATTGGTTAGCAGAAAAGTAAAAGAGTATGTCAAATAAAAGTACCTGATGAAGACTCGATATTGTTTGACTTTTTCCAGCAGATGCAGTTTATAACTCCAGTGCTGTCATCCACTGCAAGAGAAGCATAAGAGGGTAGAGGAGAGATTTGGGTACTGTTAGTAAATTAGTACATCATCATTGCATTTGGCTACACCAAAAAATGACATTTTTCAATAGCCTAGTTGGGCAAACCCTTATAAAACTCTCCTTCCATTAAAAAAAATTTTTTTAATATTTATTTATTTTTGAGAGACAGAGCATGAGCAGGGGAGCGGCAGAGAAAGAGGGAAACACAGAATCTGAAGCAGGCTCCAGGTTCTGAGCTGTCAGCACAGAGCCCAGTGAGGGGCTGGAACTCATGAACAGCAAGATCGTGACCTGAGCTGAAGTCGGATGCTTAACCGACTAAGCCACCCAGATGTCCCTTCTTCTATTTGTAGAAGTAACCTCTCACTATACACCAATGAAAACTGCTTGTCTGTACATGCTGGCGTAAAACACGAGCCTAGCAAGATGTAGTCAACATTTCCCTTACCCTGCCTCAAGGGTACTGATGATTTTAAGTTTATTTATTTTGAGAGAGAGCAAGAGAGAGCGAGCGAGAGCATGGGCACAAGCAGGGTAGGGACAGAAAGGAGAGACAAAATCCCAAGCAGACTCTGTGCCATCCTGCATCAGTGCACGGTCTGATGCAGGGCTTGAACCCAGGAACCGTGAGATCATGACCTGAGCCATAGTTGGATGCTTAACCAACTGAGCCACCCAAGCGCCCCAAGGGTACTGATGATTCTTGACCACACCTCTTCTAAAAATGGAGTCCTCAGGAATTCAAGTACAAAAATCTCAATGAATGCAACATGCAAAAGCAGCCTTGCTCTCCCACCCTGAAACAAGGCAGCACTGACATGGTCCATGATGAGAGCCTTCTCTCATCATTTGCTCTCTCAAGAGCTTGATGATTTATCAAGACAAAGCACCCCTAATTTTCTGACCTGGACTTCTCTTTGTAAATGAACTTCTGCCCAGTCCTTAACATTGCAGGGGATGTATGGAAACCTAAGTATATTGCAGAAGGGCAAAGTTTAATTTTCATGATGGAAAATAGTTCTATCTTGCTCACATAAATAATTTTGGCTTATTTTATCCTTAATGCAAAATACACACACACACACACACACACACACACATACACACAGAATTCCCATTGCACTTGAACTTATAACTGCAGAGGAACTGGAAATGTTTGTTATGGGACGATGGATGTCTTCTCTTTGTCTAATTTCCGAAAAACTCAGAAAAGAGATCAGTGGGCTTAATGATTTTTTTAAAAGTCGTCATCAAGGCTGTTATAAAAGCACAAGTAATATAGAACATAACGTAAATTTTTTTATTCCTGGTATAAATCTGTGTTGAAAGCAGAAGCCAGGAATACTTCTTATACAAAAATAAATTCTAGATGGATTTTATTAAATGTAAAACAGGTGAACTTAAAAACGTGAGAAGAAAATATGGGTAAATACTTTTGAACCTTGTGCTTATAGTTGGTGGAGGGGATTCTTTGAGCAGAACTGAAAATCAGAACTCATTTTTAAAGGTCTGATATATATGACCTAATAATTAGTACTGTACAGCAATTTTCCAAATGATAGGGCTACTGTCTTTTTTTTTTTTTTTTTTTACAAATAGTTTATTGTCAAATTAGTTTCCAAGGGCTAATGTCTTAATATAGAAGCAACTCATACAAATTGATAAAGAAAAGACAAAGACCAGAGAAAAAATGGCAAAGAAAAAGAATACGTAATTCACAGAAGATACAAAAATGGCCAATAAGCCTGTCAGTACACTAAATTCATTAGTTACCAGAAAAAGAACAAACTTAAATAATGTTTCAACTACTAGAATAACAAATATTAAACAATACTGATACCCTCACATGCTGTTAGTGGAAGTGGAAATTCATGTCAAATTTCCAAAGAGCAAGTTAGGAAACCTGTTGAATTTTTAAATGTACATATCCTCTGACTTAGCAATTACTTCTAGAAATTTATTCTGGGAGAAAAACAGAGTAAGTACACAGACTTATATATTTTGTATAAAGCCGTTTGTTCCAACATTGTTTATGATACTGGAAGTTGGGTGGCTCGGTTGAGTGACTGACTGGGCTGAGGTCATGATCTCAAGATTTGTGGGTTTGAGCCCTGCATCAAGTTCTGTGCTGACAGCTCAGAGCCTGGGGCCTGCTTTGGAATCTGTGTCCTCCCTCTCTCTCTGCCTCTCTCCCACTCGCTCTCTCTCAAAAATAAATCTCATTTAAAAAATCTTTTTTAATGAATTACAATGGCATAGCATATGAGGGTAAAAAGTTATAATGAAGATTTATGTTCACTGCTGTTTTAAGATATCCATGCCTCTTTTAGAAAAGAAATCTTATGTATAAGACTATGTGTAAGAAATGTATATATATGTACATTTTTTTAAAAGTTTATTTATTTTGTGGGGCGCCTGGGTGGCTTAGTCGGTTAAGCGTCCGACTTTCGCTTAGGTTATGATCTCGCGGTTCGTGGGTTCGAGCCCCGCGTCGGGCTCTGTGCTGACTGCCAGCTCAGAGCCTGGAGCCTGTTTCAGTCTGTGACTCCCTCTCTCTCTGACCTCCCCTGCTCACGCTGTCTCTCTCTCTCTCCTAGAAATAAATAAAAACATTAAAAAAAAAGTTTATTTATTTTGTGAGAGACAGAGAGAACATAATCAGGGGAGGGGCAGAAAGGGTAGGAGAATCCCAAGCAGGTTCTGTGCAGCCAGCATGAGCCCAATGTGGGGTTCAAATTCATGAAACCCTGAGATCATGACCTAAGCAGAAATCAAGAGTCGTGGATGGTCAACTGACTGAGCCACCCAAGAGCCCCAAGAAATCTCATATATAATCGAATAACATAAATGTTAAATAGTGTATTTTGACAGAAATGATTTTAAGACAGTAAAATGATAATAGCCAGTTTCTTTTGGAGCATCGGAAAGGAACTCCACGTTGAATGAACATGCTGACTGTAAGCCTCATTTCAGGAATATTAAGAAGAGAAAGGAATATACATAATAGCTCAAGGAAATAATACATATATATATATATATATTTTCCAATATTAGGAACATGTGAAAAATATTAGGAAGGATGTTCACCCAAACACTGACATTGTTTTCATCTTATTTGTAGGGTTTTACATGACGTTAATGTACTTCAGTAAAGTTTACTCTAACTTCAACTTTTGTTTTATAATGAGTATCGTCTTAAAATAAATCAATAAGGTAATTCTGAGTTAATGAATTGTTTGACACCTTTAGGCACACTATCTCTGGCCAGTGTCAAATCTCGGTTTACCATGTAAAGTCAAGAAATAGTAGCACATGAGAGATTCGTTCTAGGGAATGTGAGGACACTGACTGCAGCCTCTCCAGGATTCTAGGTCTGAGCTGGAGCTGCTGCCAAGTGCTCTGGGCACTGCCACCAAACCCTCTGACTTTCTGGTTTGTAACCTCTCCCGGCGGGTGCTGCGCCCTGGCAGCATAAGGTCTGGCTGCTCGAATGCCCTGGAAGGGGGAGGGCCCTGCAATGCTGCACAACGTGCCCCCCCACCCACTTGCCTGGGTCGCTGGCCTTTTGTTTCAGCAGTGGAATGAGTCAGTGAGAGCAGGAAACACCCCCAGCACAGGCCTGTGGTGAGTCAGGTGGAGCAGGACCCAGTACAGCAAGGAGGGGCCGCCTGGCAGGTGGCCCGAGAGCCAAGCTGGCCCTAGGACAGCAGGGAGGGTGCAGCTCTCCCTTGAACAGGCCTCACAAGAGCTAAAATCACAAAAGCATGTCTACTCTCAATGACTTCAACCCTCAGATGCTTTTCATTTTCCCAGAGCCCAGAGATGGATCCGGTTCTTGTAACATTCACTTTAAAGAAAATGTTTACTGGGGAAGGGTCAAACATATCGCCTTCATCTTTTTTTAATCTCTGACCTCTACACAGTTTCCATCCCAGACCCCATGAGAAAGGGAGGGGTTGGGGAGCCCCACCTATGCTAACAACAAAACATGCTGTATCCAACCAAAAACAACAAAAACAAAAAAAGCAGATGAAGTGATGGTGGGGGGGAGGGTGAGCTGATGGGGGAGAGAAAAATCAAATTGAGTTATATGGAGACTATACGGCGGACTGGTGTCAGTAAATAGATTGGACCTATAAATCTCCATCAGTGGAACCTTGAGCAAATGACTGGGCCTTATTTTTCTCATCTCCAAAACGGAAAGAACATCTGTCCTTACAATTTCAAATGATCAGGGGGAGAAGAACACTAAGTTATGTATGTGAGAGTGCTCTGTAAACTGAAACTATCATTTCATCACTGGTATTTGGAGAGGAAGTACTTTATTATACTACAGAAAATGTACTTGCCCACAACTGAGTGTGCTGTAGGAAATTGATGACTACTTGTTGAATTGTCTGGAGAAAAACAGATACCTTTGGTAAAATAAAGCAGAGAAGGGATCCAATGGGTGGTGCCTGACAAGATGATCTATTTTAAAGTCTAAAAATATATACATGTTGAGGAAAAGCAGAAGGTATGAGGAACCTCATCTCTCACATGTTATTTTTGTACGCAGGAGACAATCAACTTTAGGAAAATGAATACGTGTTGAAAAACATGCAATGATATTCTATCTATACGACAGCTATCATACACAGGCTGCCAGTGAAATGGTCTCAGTCAACTGGTTCAACTGCCTTCTGATTCCCCACAAGGAGAGCAGGACCACAAATCCAAGGCGACACAACAGAAAGCGACAACGTCAATTACAGCAAAGGTTTGGAATCCAGAGTTAAGCTTCCCCCTAAATATCTAGGTTGGCCTCTTAGCTGAAGAGGCTCTGAGAGCTACACAAGGCAACAGATGAAAATGCTTACATTAAACTCAATGAACAAAAACCAAAAACCAAGACCTACCATACGAATTGCTGTGCCCAAACTATAGAAATCTTCATTTGGTTTCCATCCAGATCAGGGCACAGAAACTTTCTGATAATGGATATTCACCCCTGTATACCAAAAGGCTTTTTTTTTTTTTTTTTTTTTTTTTTTTTAAGAAAAGATTTATTTTCAAGTAATTTCCACGCCCAACACGGGGCTTGAACCCACAATCTCGAGATCAAGAGTCGCATGCTCAAATGACTGAGACAGCCAGGCACCCCCCAAAAGGGTTTTTAAAAATACTGTTATGGGGGCACCTGGGTGACTCAGTTGGTTGAGTGTCCAACTTCAGCTCAGGTCATGATCTTGAGGTTCATGAGTTCAAGCCCCACATCAGGTTCGCTGCTGTCACCCTGTCAGCATAGGGCCTGCTTCGGATCCTCTGATCCCCCCTCTCTCTGCCCCTCCCCTGCTTATGCTCTCTCTTTTAAAACATAAATAAAACATTTAAAAATATACAGTTCTTATTATTTTTATACCTCCCTGTCTTCTTAAAGAGTCTACTTTGACATTAATCTGGCCTTTTTTATTTTTAAAGGTACTGATATAGACATTTGTTACCATCCTTAGCTATTTATAGCTATGCTCTCAGGTATCAGGTATCTGTTCTTGATTATCCAGAGACCCTAGACTATCATATTTTAATTCTTCTACCTCCAAACTCCCCATCAGCTGTCATGTAACAGTATGCATCAGTATCATTCCTACTTTTGCCTCACTTTACACTTGGTCCATGACAGTGGCTCCAAATAAAAGACAAGTGCATGGGCTCTGTGAGAGTCCCGGGGTGGTCTGAAAGGCTGGGGTTGCTTCAAATTCGCTGTTCCTCCAAGTGGGGTCCTTCCACATAAGTTCAGTGTCAGGCACAATTGTTCTTACCTCCATAACAGTAGAAAGCTTCTTTTTCTCTTCTTCCTATTACAGTTCCCAAGATCTCCACCTGTTTTATTGGATGCCCATTGTAAAAAAATACTCCTGAAATTTAAAAAAAAAAAAAAAAAAAATCAGCCCTTGACAAATGGCAACCTCAAGAAATTCAAATGTCTTTTCCTTAAGGGTCCTAAGTAGAAAGTTTGGCTTCAGTGAAGTTTGTACTAATGCAGAAAAGAGAAAAACAATGTTGCCCAACTAGATCTGGTTAATCTTCTTTCCACTTATGAAAATGATATGTGCCTCCTTGTGAACCTCTCACAACGGGCTTGAAAACAGTCAGTATATTATGAGACCAAATCTAATTTGAGGGGCTACAAAAAAAAGAGGAAATCACAAGAAAGACTTTTTTGGCTTTTTTACTAGAGCTTTTCTAGGGAGCCAGTCTTCATTTCTATGAATTAGCAGTAGCTTTTTGTTTTTTTAAAAAATTTTTAATGTTTGTTTATATTTGAGAGAGAGAAAGAGTGTGAGCAGGGGAGGGGCAGAGAGAGCCGGAGACAGAATCCGAAGCAGGCTCCAGCCTCTGAGCTGTTAGCCCAGAGCCCAGCACAGGGCTTGAACTCACCAGCCATGAGATCATGACCTGAGCCAAAGTCTGACATTTAAGTGACTGAGACACCCAGGCACCCCCCTTCTCCTGCCTCCTTTATTTTTAAAGAGAAGACAATTAGGTTACAAAATGTTGCCCTTTGGGGCCAGATTATAACTCTAAAACTTCTCTTTTTAAAACTGTTTTCAAAACCCAGAGAAAGATGCCAACGGGCAGCTTCCTGATAGAGGAGAAACCTGAGAGGCCGAACAATACACTAACACCTGGAGGGCTTTTGTGAAGGGATGTGGAGGGACTCCTGGCTGCGGTGAGTCTCTGATTCCCACCCAAGGTCCCAGCGCTGGACTGGCTCCTGCAGAGCATCCTGCCTGCACACCTGCAACACCCTCACCTCACTCCCTATTCTGGCTTAAGCTACTGGCATGTGCATCCGTCTCCTGCAGTTAATGATTCCAGACTAAAACCTCTAGCCTGCCTTTACCCCCTCCCCCATGATGGCTGAATTCTTTACTTTTAGAAAGAGGCTATAAACATTTAAATGGAAATTTCCTTTTAAAATAAAGATATGAATTGTGAACAAAGAAACACTCATCAGTGTAGGCATCTGACCACCTCCTCCCTCCCCGCCAAGCTGGACAGAGCCTCTCTTCTCCATATCCACAGGGCTGGTGGCAGGATGGACCTGTGGCCCAGACTCTGATGCCCTTCAAAATCCCCAGACTGGCCTCCACTGATGGCTCTTGTTTCCAGTGTGGATAAGGGGCCAGGACGAGCCACTCATGGAGAGTCCCAGAGGCTCTAAGCCTCAATCAGCTGGAGATTCTAGAAGGGTGAGATGTGGTTGGAAGGAAAACATGGTGACAAATTTAGCCAAAAGAAGGGCCCTCTCCCTGGGAGAGCAACCTTCTAAAGATGCCTTAGTGGATTAGAGGCCATGGCCAGGGCAACCATTGGGGGCCAAGAGCTGAAACAGCAGGGCTACACAAGGGAAGGAGCCAGAGTCACTGTGTCATCCCCAAAGGAGGGTCACTCCCTTCCAGGGACATTTGGGTTGAACTGGGGACAAACTGGCTCCACAGAAAATCCATGAAATTTCAAGTGCAGGACAGTTCCAATCAACTTTTCCTGAGTTGTTACGATTGATATCCAGGCCCCTTAGTTACCACCTTTGGTGATACCTTTGGGGCCTCTGCCCCTGTCTGCTGGCACTGACCAAACACAAAGGGCAAGTTCAGAGGAGGGGGAGCCCTTCAGGACCTCGGCAGGCAAGCTCAGACTTCCCGTGGCAGAAGGAAGTTTAAATCAGGAGAATGAGCCTCACCTAGGGATGTGGGCATGGGGTCGTCTATACCCCATACCCCCATACCCCACCACTGTGCCCTGATATGCCTGTGTGCAGAGAAGAGCTACAGCATGGCCAGCCCTGCTTTGGTTTGCTGCAGGGCCAGGTGGGGCTTAGAGTGGCCTGAGCTCCAGGTTGCAGCCAGCACTTTCTGCTTCCCCACACGCATGGTATAGGCGCTAACACTTCCCATCTGTGTACTGCGCAGAGCAAAGTTGGAACTGTTCTTCGAACGTGACTGGCCTTCCCCTACCCCAGCTTAAAGAGGGTCTGTCCTTGTTGCTAGCCATTGGTTTGTGTTAGAGACAGAACACTCCACAGGATTCCATGTGGTCAGCTGTGGCCCCCCCCAGGACTACAAAACAGGAGGAGGAATTGTGGAAGCCTCTGGACCCATTGGAGGATCCAGTCTGCCCCTGAAATATCTTTCCAGCTGGTTCTGGAGCCACTAAGGGGTGTTCTGCTGATGTCTGAAAGCCCGAGACAGCCTCAGGCCTCTGGGAGTTTCCCTGAGACACCCTGGTATGTGCTGTGATGGTGGTCTTTACAGTAAAGAGCTGACACACTTTCAGGAGGGGAAAAGAGCTAACCAAAAGGTGTTCTGCCTACATTGAAACATACAAAAAGGTGATAAGAAGACTAGACTAATCACACAAGCCAGGAAAGTCCTCAAGTCACCTGTGATGGAGGCCAATCCTCCATTGCAAACTATGTTGGGCCGCTCAATAAAAATCTGAACAGGTCTTCCCTTGAGGACACAACAGACTTTCTCAAGAAAGCACAGGAAAGGGAGGCCCCTACACTTTTATCTCCTAGATGGACAATGGTCACCTTCAAGGACAGACCTAGTCACCCCAAGGTGCAAACAATCCTGCTGATGCAATAAATGTCTTAAAAGCATCACAGAACCATAGGGAACCAATTTAAAGAAAACAACACAGGGGCTGAGTCAAAACACTCAGAGAAAATCAACTGAGGAGGGAAGATGCTGCTTGAAAATAGAGAAGACACTTCCCAGAGTGTATGGAATCACGAACAACACATATGAGAAGCTCAACCTATATGAAGATGGCCGAAGACATGGAAAATAATTGGGAGAGAACTTCCTTCTATCTATACAAAATTCTCTCTTAGTATAAAAGGGCTCAAAAAAGTTAGATGGCAGCTCTGCTGACTGAAAGAAAGCTCAGTAAGCCAAGAAAAGAAAATAACCAAGACGACAGGTACTGGCTGATGTGGAGTTGAAGCTGCTGCTTCCTGCTGCCTTTGTTCCGCATGCAGCCCACGGAGGCTCAATCACTTGGGCCATCAGGTCCGCAGGAAGGAGGGTCATGCCAGGAGGGTTCAGGGGTCCAGGGTCACGGAGGCAGGCTTGATTCAGCTTTCACAGTTGCCAGCCCCCTAACAGCCACCACCCCAGCAAGACATCTGCCTGTTTTCTCTCTTTTAAATATGCTTTTGGGGCACTTGGGTGGCTCAGCTGGTTGAGCATCTGACTTCAGCTCAGGTCATGATCTCACTGCCTGTGAGTTCGAGCCCCACATCGGGCTCTGGGCTGACAGCTCAGAGCCTGGAGCTGTTTCAAATTCTGTGTCTCCCTCTCTCTCCACCCCTCCCCTGCTCATACTCTGTCTCTTTATCTCAAAAATAAACATTAAAAAAAATGCTTTTGGTTTATCTCGTTTTAGTCTAACTGCTATTAATTAATTGATGCCTGAATGTATTCAAATACCTAAGATATTATTTGTTATTAAGTTTTTATTTTATTTTAGAAAGAGAGCAGGGGAGAGGGCACAAGGAGAGAAACAGACAGTCTTAAGCTCAGCATGGAGCCTGATGCAGGGCTTGATCCCATGACTGTGTGATCCTGACCTGAGCTGAAATCAAGAATCAAACATTCAAATGACTGAGCCATCCAGGTGCCCCATAAGATACTATTTTTAATATAATTCTTATGAATGCACCATTTCCACTTCATTAGACCCTCTAGAATTTAGATAATTTAAGTACTGTATTTTGATTTAAACATTCACTGTATCCCATTATTAAAGTCTGACGTGGATATTTAGAAAAATAAAGATTTTTCTGTATGCTATAAACAAAACAATGAAGCAAAAAAGACGCCAAGACCTATAAACACCACCACCACCACCACCACAGTCAAACTTCGTAATTTTTTTCATAATACTTTTTATTAAACCCTAAATTCACAGATTGACTTAGAGGAGTTGACATTTTGCAACCATTTTGCAACGTAATTCTGATGGCCAATAAGCAGAATAAGGTCAAATTTCAAATCAAGGGCACAGTCTTCCACAAGACTGCTCTTTCTTCAGTCACTGGCCCTAAATTTGGGGGTTCCAAGGCCACCCACACTTCTGACCAAAGCGCTACAAATTTGGGGGTTCTTGTAACTCTTGGCTTTGATAATCCGCTAGAATGGCACACAACTCAGGAAGGTACTACACCTATGACTGTAGTCTTTGAATAAAGGGTACAAATCAGGACTACCTAAATAAAGAGATGCATAAGACAAGGTCTGGGGAGGTCCAAGCACAAAGCTTCCATAACCACAGACATGGCACCCTCCCGATAAATCAATGTATGATTATCAACCTGGAAAACTCACCTGAGCCTCAGTATGTAGAGTTTTTATTTGAGTTTGATTATGCAGGCAAGATTGAATCCTTGGCCACAGGACAACTCAACCTTCAGCCCCGCTCCCTTCCCAGGGGGTTGGGCTGATGTCACCTAGCTGGAAATCCCAGCCCTCTCTAATCACACGGTTGTTCTTTCAGGCATGGACAACCCCTATCCTCATATCAAACCAAAAATAACACCAGAATAAAAACCTAGACTAGAGTAGGGGAATTTCCCACCCCTAGGGCCCCACAGTATAATCTAAAGAGTATTACTGTTGTGAAATTATGATTGGTGTCTGCTTCAACCATGAAGTTTCATTTCAAAAACAAGAGTCGGCAGTTAGTTCAGTTTTTAATAGGATGCCTGGAGGCCAGCAAAGGGGGTGTCCTGGCTAGCTATCAGGAAAGTTAGAGACCCTGTCCTGGCAACACTCCAAAAGTAAAGCCACCAGAAGCTGGATCAAACCAGACAGACCCCAGACAAAGGCCAGAACCCCTAACCAAGTAAGGGAGAAAAGGCATGAAAACCTCCTCACAAATATTTCCCTCCCAAAGTAATACATTTTCCATCCCCTAACAACTGTCAATAAACGACACAAACCTAAAACCCCAGGCACAGCTCTCCACTGAGCTCGCCTCCTCTCACATCTCGCTTTAATAAACTTTCCAACTTGCACTGCTCAACCACGTGTCTGGTTTCTCCTGGAATTCTTTCTTGCAAGGAGACCAAGAGCCTCCAGCAACATCCCTGGGAAGGACTGGGTGGAGGCAAAGGGCCCAGGGGCAGGGGTCTCTCCAGTCCACCTGGCAACAAAAGCATGTCTGGAACAGTATTACCAGTGACACAGCGAAGACACTCAGCATCAGTTTTCCTTGGTTTGTTGTTAATACATCATAAAGTCCTTCAGCCACAGGAAGCATTAAGCCCCTAGCATGCCCTGATATTTCCTTGAGCATCTACAGAAGACCTTTCTTTCAAATGCAAGGCTGGCATTTGGTGTGGAATTGTTTTCTTCCCGAGATGAGCTATGAAGAATACTGGACTGCTCTGGAAAATGGACAACTAAGGGGGAGGACGGCTGCCTTCCAAGAAAAAGCAAAAATCAAAAAAGAAACAGACGGTCTCCAACAATAATTAGGAAACCAAGGTGTGGTGAAAAATCTGCACAAAAGGCTTTAGAAGAAGGTCATCCAAATATATTTGTACATAGAACTGGAAACACACAAAACATCCTCTCATTAAAACTGTGCATACTTGAGATTCTTGACTACTTCTGACTCACAGCTTGCTTTTCATTCAAAACAGCAAAGAGTTTAACCAAACTTCTCATATAGCACAGTAAACATGTGAAGATCATACACAGCTAAATGCATTATTCAAATCTACCCCAAATTATATTATATTTTAGATATGAAGAACCTATCTTTTGTAACTACCACTTTAAAAAAGTGACTTCTTTAACTTTACATGTTTAATGTTTTGCATTAATTAATTAATCACCTTTACAAGTGAGTCACATGCCCAGGGCAGGTAAGAGGCACAGCTGAAAAAGGGAACAAAACCTAGAGATGCCTGGTCCAGTGAGATTTCTACCAAGAGCTGTCCCAAAGAAAAAACAAGTGACCATGTTATAATATGACAGATCTCAACTGCAGGCAAAAACATTCCTCAGTACAAAGGTTACTTCCCCAAGCATTTGTTTTAAGAAACAAAAATAAGATTTAGGCTTTGTAACTCGCATAGACATGAACTAATTCGAGAGTCCATGCTAGGTCCTTTTCAGAGGCTGCAGTAGGGAAGGCTCTCCTGAAAGCCGCTAAGCCCCAGCATTCTGCAGCTTTGGAGAAAGAAGGGTGGGGTGCAGGTGCAGCACAGGGTATCCCCCAAGCCCACGAGCCACATACCTGGTACCTGGCAGGACTCCTTCAAGTCCAGGATATCCCTGATGTAGAGTTTTGCGTAAGCTAGAAACACAGGATCCAAACCCCATAGGATAGAAGGGGTCTCCTCTTCAGGTCGGCTGGATTCGGACTCCATCGGGAGGCTGGGCTTTTGGCTTGCAGCCAACACTGAAAGGCTCTGCGTCACCGAAATGATCTAGATAGGAGACAGAAAAAACCAGGATGCAAAGCGTTTAAGGTGGGTGAAATTGGCATGGCCCCGAAGCTGCTCCCGGGCGCGCCTCCAGAACTCGGGTTGGGATAAATAAACCCAGGGGTCCAGGGCCTATCCAAGCCAGGGCCTAGAGGAAAGAGGCGTTCTTCGGGTGAGGGCCTGTGCGTTCTTTATGGTTCTCCTTCTAGAACCTCCTCTGCCCCACGGGAGTCTTTCTCCTTCCCCCAAAGTACCAACTTCAAAACGGCTATACGCTAACTTCTCACTTTGGGGAGATAGGTCCATACGGGCATACCCTGAAACCGCTTTAATGGGCGGGGTCCGAGAGGAATGGGTGCCCACGTGGCCAAACACCGGGGGGGGGGGGGTCAGAGGGGGTGGATCTGTGCGTCGCTCTGCCCCTGCACCTTCCGGTTTCGGGATACACTGAGGAAGGGTGGGAAACGGAAACGAAAAGCAGACCCGCTCCAAGCCCCTCCCGCCGCGCTCGCGCCGCCAGCCCCCGGCCCCCTGCCCCCAGGAGTGCGCAGGTCCCGCCCTTCCGGGCGCTCAAAGGCCTTTGGGCGCCAAGGCCCTACCCCGTGCTGGAGCGCTGGGCCCAGTTCTTCTCTGCAGTCCCGGGGGCAGGACACAGCTCCCGGCTTTCCACCGACCCACCTCTCCCCGCCCGGGGCCTTCCCTCCCGACTGCCAGAGCTTCGCCACGGCTCCGCCCCACCGCGCGCGGGACCCCGCCCCATCCCGACGAGGCCCCGCCCCAACCTCTCTGCAGGTGACCAGACTGCCTCGCAAGCTTGGCTCAGGTAGTGCTCTGGTCCCTCCATCCGCGCCGCCTCCGTGGGCTTCTGCTGGGGCACACAACCCAAATCTCTGAGGCGTGGGAGCTGGCTCTGCAATTCCTGCTGTCCGAACCGCATACTCCAAGTCTCCCTTTCAAGCCGTCTCCCGCTAGTGGTAGGACGATGAGTCAGGACCCCTAAAGGTTGGGACAGGTTTGGGGGGGCAGGGGTTTGCTCCTGATATATTAAATGAACAAATAAAGAACGAAATACCAAGGTTAGGATTACACTGTGGCATATTTTAAATGTTAATTTGCATTTGGTGAGTGATCTTCTCTCTCTCTCTCTCTCTCTCTCTCTCTCTCACACACACACACACACACACACAGGGACTCTACTTACATTGGAGATAATGTCAGTATCTAAGTTTGAGTCCTTGAGTGAATGTGAGGTCTTGGCTCTGCCCAAGGCTAGCCTTACAAGATCATGACAATAAATTTTGTCTTCTTTCCTCTTATTCAGTCTACAGTCTGGAATGTTGTACACTGAAGAATTTTGAAATACTGGGATTTTGGTAAATCGTAGCTACCTTGGTGGTGTTTGTCCCCAGTGGTCCTAATTTAAAGTGAGAAAAGACAAAAGGCATCCAGATGATCAAGGAAGAAGTCAACTTTCACTCTTTGCAAAGGACAAAATACTGTATATGGAAAACCCAAAAGACTTCCGCCAAAAAACTGCTAGAACTGATACATGAGTTCAGCAAAGTCACAGGATATAAAATCAACGTACAGAAATCAGTTGCATTTCTATACACCATTAATGAAGCAGTAGAAAGAGAAATCAAGGAATCAATCCCATTTACAATTGTACTGAAAACCATAAAATACGTAAGAATAAACCTAACCAAAGAGGTCATAGATCTATATGCTCAAAACTATAGAAAGCTTATGAAAGAAGTGGGAGAAGATACAAAGAAATGGAAAAACATTCCATGCTCCTGGATTGGAAGCAAGTATTGTTAAAATGTTGATACTACCCAAAGCAATCTACACATTCAATGCAATCCCTATCAAAATAACACCAACATTGTTCACAAAACTGGAACAAATGATTCTAAAATTTGTATGGAACCAGAAAAGACCCCAAAGAGCCAAAGTAATGGTGAAAAAGAAAACCAAAGCTGGAGGCATCACAATTCCAGACTTCAAGCTGTATTACAAAGCTGTAACCATCAACACTGTGTGGTATTGGCACAAAAACAGAGAGATCAATGGAACAGAATAGAGAACCCAGAAAAGGACCCACAAATGTATGGCCAACTAATCTTCAGCAGAGCAGGAAAGAATATCCGATGGAAAAAAGACAAACTCTTCAGCAAATAGTGTTGGAAAAACTGGACAGTGACACGCAGAAGAACGAACCTGTACCACATTCTTACTACACAAAAGTAAAATGGATGAAAGACCTAAATGTAAGACAAGAAACCATCAAAATCCTAGAGGAGAAAATGCAAAAATCTCTTTGACCTTGGATGCAGGAACTTCTTACTAGAAATGTTTCTGGAGACAAGGGAAACAAAAGTAAAAATGAACTATTGGGACCTCATCAAGATAAAAGTCTTGTGCATAGTGAAGGAAACAATCAACAAAACTAAAAGGTTACAGATGTAATAGGAGAAGATATTTGCAAATGACATTGGATAAAGGCTTAGTATCCAAAATCTATAAAGAACTTACCAAATTCAACATCCAGAAAATAAAAAATCCAGTGAAGAAATGGGCAAAAGATATGAATAGACACTTTTACAAAAAAGACATCCAGATGGCTAGCAGACACATGAAAAGATGCTCAATATCATTCATCATCAGGGAAATACACATCAAAACCACAATGAGATATCACCTCACACCCATTAGAATGGCTAAAGTTAACAGCTCAGGAAACAATAGATGTTGGTGAGGTTGTGGAGAAAGGGGAACTCTTTTGCACTGCTGGTGGGAATGCAAACTGTTGCCGCTACTCTGGAAAACAATATGGAGGTTCCTCAAAAATTTAAAAATAGAGCGATCCAATGACCCAGCAATTGCACTACTAGGTATTTATCCAAAGGATACAAAAAGCTGATTCAAAGGGGCACATGCACCCCAATGTTTATAGCAACATTATTAACAATAGCCAAATTATGGAAAGAGCCCAAATGCCATCAGCTGATGAATGGATTAAGAAGATGTGGTATGTATGTATGCATGTATGTGTATGTACGTATAATGGAATATTACTCAGTGATCGAAAAGAATGACATCTTGCTATTTGCAACAATGTGAATGGAACTAGAATGTATTATGCTAAGTGAAACAAATACCATACGATTTCACTCGTGGAATTTAAGAAACAAAACAGAAGAACATAGGGTAAGGGAAGGAAAAAGATAAGATAAAAAGAGATTCTTAAATACAGAAAACAAACTGAGGGTTGCTGGAGAGGTGCTGGATGGGGAGAAGAGCTATATGGGTGATGGGCATTAAGGACAACACTTGTTGGTATGAGCACTGGGTGTTATATGTAAGTGATGAATCACTAAAGTCTATTCCTAAAACCATCATTACAGTATATGTTAACTAACTTGTATTTAAATAAAATTTTAAAAAATCAATTTAGCAGAAAAATACAGATCATTCCTTTTGAAAAAAAAAAAGAAGAAAAGATAGCCACATTCCACTCCCAAAAATAAATAGAAAAGCTACATCATAACCTTACTCAAGATGGCTAGAGTTCTTCCTAATTTATAGGGACTCTGTAAAATAGAAGGAGGGAGTAGAGGTCATTCTGGCAGGCCATTCCTGGGGGAGGCAGGTAGTAGCCAAAGAGATAATTACTAAACTATTTAGCAGAGAAGGAACTTCAAGCAGCTGGAATGGAAAATGTGTGTCATTAGAATGATGGCATTTAATTACATCCCTGACCACTGAAGAAGCTGAAAAACAGAATCCTTGGCAAAGTATAGCATTGTCCGTGTTCTACTATGATGAACAGTTGTTTCTGTGGAGTTTAAGATTCAGTTAAGAGGGGCACCTGGATGGCTCAGTTAGGTAAGCATCCAACGTTGGCTGAGGTCATGATCCCACCATATGTGGGTTTAAACTCCACATCAGAATTTGTGCTGACAGCTCAGAGCCTGGAGCCTGCTTCAGATTCTGTGTCTCCCTCTCTCTCTGCCCCCTTCCCCACCCACATTCTGTCTCTCTCAGAAATAAACATTAAAATTTTTTTTAATTTTAATAAATTTAATAATTTTTTTTAAATTTTAATGTTTATTTATTTTTGAGAGAGAGACAGCATGAGCAGGGGAGGGTTAGAGAGAAAGGGAGACACAGAATCTGAAGCAGGCTCCAGGCTCTGAGCTAGCTGTCACCACAGAGCCCGATGTAGGGCTCGAACCCATGAACTGTGAGATCATGACCTGAGCCGATGTCGGACGCTTAACTGACTAAGCCACCCAGGCGCCCCAATATTAAAAGTTTTTAAAGATTTCATTAAGAAAAGATACACTTTTCGTAGGAGGGAGGTTCTCTTCAAGGAAGCACATCCAGTAGGACACCCAGAAGGATGGGTGCTTCTGGCTGACCTATCAGATGAGGAGAGACAGGTGGGGTGACATTTTCCTGGTTGCACACATCCACTCCAGGGTGGAACCCAAGAAGAAAATCACTACTGAGTGTACTCAGAGACCGAGATTTTAGGAGTAACTCTTGTAGTTCACCCAGCGGTAGAATACTAGAAATAAGAGCCCTTGGGAACTCCAAGCTTACCATGAGCTACACCAGGTGGGTGGAACAGAGCAGACTGCCTCTAATGTCATCTTTTACAATGAAAGGAGGATTCCTTGGAGATCAGGGATGCTTTTTCTATCAGAGCTTAAAACTTGAAGTAGCAGATTGCAACTGAAACCCAAAGTGCAATGTGGAACAGAATTTCCAGACTGCAGAAATATCTAGGGGGCTGGGAGGACCTTCCACCTGCCATCTTCACCAGGATAGACTCCAGGTTCCCCAATCCACTGCCTGGAGATGTGCAAAGGACTCCTGAAATCATGAGCACTGAAGGGCTCTTTCAGCTTGGGACTCCACAACATGGCCAACCAGATATTTCAAAAACTAACAGTCAACTCTTAATGCTGAAAACCTTTCTTATGGAACTAGCCATCGCACTTCTCAATATGAAATAATGCTTGATTTTGCAAGCAGTTTGGTAAGGTAGACAATTTTTTCCTAGAAAGTTAAAATTTTAGCAAATTCTTCTGGAAATTGAGGGGAATGAACTGAACATTTCCTACTTCAAAGTGCAGACTATTTGCCTTAACCATTTTGACATTTTACTAGTAGAATGGGGTTTATCCACTTGTATATTGGGTTAGAGTTTCTGGCTGAAGTTTATAATAAGGATAACTTATCAACATTTTTATTATGTTAACTTTATAACCCTGGGGGGGATATCTTTAATTACTCAGCATACCTTGAACACTCTGTGTGCTATGGGGGAGCACTAACAATTTTTATTTCACTGGAGCAAGAAGAATGATACATGTAATATATTAAATAACAAAGCAGGAGGTTAAATTTCATGTAAATACAGGATGTGTAGACTGGATAGCAACTACCGTATGGGTTAGAGGAAGTAAATGGGGGAGGGGGCTCATTAAGTAAGATAACATGAAGCTGCTGAAACAAAGTAAGCACTCAATATGTATAAGCTATTATTCTTAACCATGGAGACAGGATTTAAGCTAGGGTTTGAGACTGTGGAGGAGCTGTTCATTTATTTGTGAAACATTTTCGTAAAGCACTTTTCCAGCACTATACCAGACACTGAAGGTAAGAAGGAGAC